GCTGTGGTGTTATCCTTCTATCCTTTTGACTCTTTTGTATCCTTTTGTTCCTTTTAGATATTTGAAAACTAGATATCTCTTTTTTTAAAAATGGAAAAAAGTTCCATTAGATTTTGAGGAGGTGTCAAGCAAAACGGAGAAAAATATTACTAAACTAAGAACTAGTTTTAGGATTCCCCACTACTAAAACAAGTAAGCATGTTGAAAGTCATTCACTCTTAATTTTGTATGCATGATAACATAGAATTTCTTTGTTTAATATAAAAATATTTATTTTTGTTTTTTTTATATACAAAGCGATATTGATGAAGGAGAAATCAAATATATAGGAGCTAGAATGCAAAGTAAATACTCTAAACCACTTGCAAAATACATAATTACTTTGTTCGGAAAGTTAGGTCCAGTTCTCCTAACTAGAAAATGACACCGTATTATGTAGAATATTAGCCTATGAGTTTCGTGTAATATTTGAGATCAAATATACTCTTGTAATGTGACCATAAAGTAAGATCACACATATTGTTCACCTTCCGTGCATATTTCAGATGAGACTTTCCTGCATGATGGTACACTGGATACACCAATTGATTGGATTCCAGGCATGAAAAATGCTCGGCTCAGGGACATCCCCAGCTTCATCAGAGTCACAGATGTCAACGACATAATGTTCGATTTCTTGGGATCCGAAGCACGAAACTGTTTGAAGTCTTCTGCAATCATCTTCAACACATATGATGAATTTGAACATGAAGTGTTAGAGGTAATATCGACCATATTCCCTAACATCTACACCATTGGCCCCCTTAAGTTGCTTGAGAGGCATTTGCCTGAAACCGAAACCAAATTGGTCGAGTCAATTAGCTCAAACTTATGGAAAGAAGACACAGAATGTTTGAAATGGCTTGATCAGAAGAAACCTGGTTCAGTTGTGTATGTAAATTATGGGAGCATAACTACAATGACATATGAGCATCTGAAAGAATTCGCATGGGGGCTTGCAAATAGCAAGCACCCATTTTTGTGGATTGTTAGGCCTGATGTGGTAGAGGGAGACTCAGCTATTTTACCCAATGAATTTTTTGAGGAGATTAAGGATAGGGGTTATATAGCAAGGTGGTGTCCACAGGACCAAGTGCTAGCTCATCCATCTGTTGGGGCTTTTTTAACACACACTGGCTGGAACTCTACTCTTGAAAGTGTATCCGAAGGCGTGCCAGTAATTTGCTGGCCTTTCTTTGCTGATCAACACACGAATTGTCGATACGCATGCACTGACTGGGAGATTGGAATGGAAGTGAGCCCCGATGTGAAGCGTGACGAAATCGAAGTGCTTGTTAAGGAGATTCTAGAAGGAGAAAAGGGGATGAAGATGAGGCAAAAGGCAAAAGAATGGAAGAAAAAAGCTGTAGAAGCTACTGATATTGGAGGATCATCGTACAATAATTTTGATAGATTGATTAAGTCTCTCCATTAAGGTGGATGACTGCTACAATGAGGAACAAATATGGTTCCTTGTCAAGAACTCACATATATGTATATGTTCAAGTGCTGTAATAATGTTTATGTTTTATTTGGACGTCAGTTGTTTCTCTAGTTGTTTGTAGCCCAACTCTGTTACAGTTTCCAAGCAGACTGGGCTTATGAATAAAATTAATATCCGTTCAGACTTCTAGTTTGTTGCAAATGCATACGTATATTGATATTCGAATTACCTGTTGATTATGTATTGGGTCGATCCCTGTTTTAGATTTCGAAGCGTTTCAAAAGCTAAGGGCTCGTTTGGTATATATTCTATTTTAATACGGTTTTTTAAACTCAAAAATAGAATTTGACTCCAAACACCAAAATCGGTTTTTAAAATTTAGAAACCTTATAAAAAAAACACAAAAGCTAATGAATATGATGAGATATGATCACCAAGACGAAATGACTGGATGTATTCCAAAAAAAAAAAAAAAAAAGACCAAAGGACTGGAAGGCCAACTTATAGTTGGTAAAAATATAATAAAAGAAGCCTTGATAACAATATTTGATCGGTTGCAGCTTTTTCCTCTTGCCAAGTAAATTTAGCAAAAGATGGTTCCAGTTGGAGGAAGAACACGACCCCATGTAGTTTGTATCCCCTCTTCACAAGGGCATGTTAGCCCTATGATGCAATTAGCCAAGCTCCTACACTCAAAGGGCCTTTGACAACAACCACAGGCGCCTCATCAGGTCTCAAGGGCACCCATCATCCCTTATGGGCTTACCTGGCTTTAGATTTGAGGCCATACCGGATGGGCTTCCACCATCTGACAAAGATGCTACCCAAGATGTTCCTGCACTCAGTGATTCCATCAGAAAAAACTGTCTTGGTCCCTTCAAAGAGCTTCTGGATAAGCTTGGTGAATTGTCTGAAGTGGACCCAGTTACTTGAATAATTTCAGATGGATGGGGTTTGGGAGCAGAGCTGCGGTGGAATTGGGCATTCCAGAGGTTCAGTTTTGGACTGCCTCTGCTTGCAGCTTCATGGGTTACTTGCAGTATAGTGAACTCCTAAAAAGAGGCTTGGTCCCATTCAAAGGTACTCATTTTCTCGGACCCTTTTGTTTTCTTATTTTTAGTGAAAATGAATTCATCAACAACATCTAAGAAATTCATAAACTCAAAGCATATCAAAACAAAATTGTAATCATGTTTAGGGGTTCAACCTAAGCGCTAGAAAAATAAGAAATAACATTGACACTAAGAAAATACAATAAATAAATAAAATGAAAGAAACTAAAAACAATGAGGAGAAAGAGAATTGCATTTTCAACCTCTTGGATCCTTGCCTCAAGGCTCCCCAAGGTTCTCTCCAATTATCATGTCATTTTCCCCTTTCTTTGTTTGCTCTTGCTCTCCTCCTTCTCTAAAAATCAGAAATTGCAAAGTGTAGAGAATGATTCTTCTTGCTTGGCTGCTACCCCTTAGCTACCTTCTTCTCTTTCTCTCTTTCTACTCATAATCCATAAGATACTTTACCTTTTACCCAAAGTCTTTGGCATATGCTCCACTTTTCTTCACTTCCATCATTTCATTTTGGTTTTAATACATAGAAAGAGATTCTAATTTATTACCAATCTGAAATCAAATCTCTACAACGTAATTAATTGTTACCAAGAGGTGTGGTAACAATTAGAAGGGGAGATGATACCAAAAGAGGGGTAAAAGTGACCCAAAATAGATTTTCAGAATTAGTATCAATGTTGGATCAGTTGGGGAGGTAATATTTTTTCAATGGAGCTAACTTTTGGATATGTTGTAATCAAAACCCATTGGAACAAGTTTCATGAAGAGCTTCACCGCATCCGAGCACCGGAACATTCTGACCAAGGCCAAGAAGTTGACCTATGAAAATGAGCAAAAACATATCTTATATTCAATAATGCACTTTTAGCTCACATTTATTCCAACCAAAGTAAAATCCATAAAAACACAAAAAGGAAGTAAAAAAACTATAAAATTTTAAGAACTAACTCAAAACATTGGGTGAATGACATGATAAATCATGTATAAAAATGAACCCAACAACTGCCGAACCAATTTCAATATAACAATTTAGTTCAGTTCGATTTTGACAAAAGTCAAGAAAATATCATTCCAAACCAAATCAATTTAAGACGATTTGGTTCAATTTGGTTTGGCCGGTTTGGGCCTAAGCCCAATTCTCTTTCCTTTTGCATTTTTTCAACATTGTTAGCCCAATTACAACCAACAAATTTACAACTTGCTCCATACTTAATTTTTTTTCTATAGTATGAAACCATCCTAAAGCTCAACATGCCATAAAAATTTCAAATTTCAAAAACTAATATAGCTCAATTCAAATATCCATATATAGTTATTACATGATTAGAGTATTAAACATGTACAATATAAAATAAAAATATATATACACATAAACGATCCGATTTGATTTAGAGCGGTTTATAAAAATTCAAAATCAAACCAAACCAAATCATATATGGTCCGATTCGATTTTTAAACCATTTGACATTTTTTTAATCAAAATCAAACCAAACCGATAATTACAATTTAATTTCATCGGTTCAGCCTAGCAAAAATTGCAACTAGACTAGCTGAAACAAAAATGGCCTAACATATTTAATAAACCCATTACCCAAATATCGCATAAAGTAGAATAGAAACTCCCAAAAAGGAACCCCAAAATTCCCACACGTATTTGACTAACCATCTCTGCCAGATTAACCCGCATGTATTATTGTTGTGTTGATTGTTGCGGATTTGTTTGCAAGCACAACAAATAAACAACGCAATTGTTCTTTTATTCTTTTTTCTTCTCCACGTGTTTGTTCCTCTTAGTGCGCACACCGAAGACTAAAACTAAAACAAGTAAGCATTGTGTTGTGTTGTGTTCGTCAATGCATGATATTGTTCTTTATTTTTTGGGTACACGATATTGTTCTCTGTGTTAAGCAAACAAATTTGAAAATAAGGGCCTCGTTGTATTCGTTTGTTGTTTATGATTCTCAAAATCGCAGGAACGGTCATATTTTATGTAGCTATAATATTTATATTTTATGATTCTCAAAATCGCAGGAACGGCCGTATTCTATGAACCTACAATATTTATATTCTTAGTCAGAAAACGTGCCCTTCAATGACAACGATGTAAAATTAATTACTCCTCTAATGTTGGCGGGGTTATTCATCTGTTGAAAGCTAGCAGCATAGAAAGGAAAATAACAAACGAGCTCTTACACGCACAGGTGTCCATTGGTAGGCAGGGGCGGCCCCGCAGCAAGGGCAAGGTAATCATACATATTTCTACCTATCCCATGTCGGCCCATGTGATGATCTGAAGCATTAGTGAAATGGGCAATTTTATTGTTACTGACACATCACTTGTATGGTAGTAAACTGTAATTTTTGTTTTGTTTTGACAAAAGTTACTCCAATGTCGGTATCAAGTGCCGAAGAGGCAAGGCTTGGCACATTTTCTATAAATGACACGACTCACGAGCAAAGTTGGCTTTCACCACACAGGTATTGCTTATATTGGTAAAGAGAGATGGGTTCAATAGGAGAAGCACCCAAAAAACTACATGCGGTTTGTGTCCCTTTCCCAGCTCAAGGTCATGTTAACCCCATGATGCAATTAGCTAAGCTTCTTCACTCAAGAGGCTTCCACATAACCTTTGTTAACACAGAGTTCAACCACCGGCGCCTAATCCGGTCCAAAGGCCCGGACTCCGTCAAGGGCTTGCCCGACTTCCAGTTCGAGACCATACCGGACGGGCTGCCTCCTTCGGATAAGGATGCAACCCAAGATGTTCCAGCCTTATGCGACTCCACCAGGAAAACCTGTCTAGGTCCATTCAAAGAGCTGGTCACTAAGATCAACTCCTCATCTCAAGTGCCACAAGTTACTTGTATAGTTGCAGATGGTGTCACGGGATTTGGGAGGCAAGCTGCTCAGGAGTTAGGCATTCCGGAGGTCCAGTTTTGGACTGCCTCTGCTTGTGGCTTCGTGGGTTACTTGCAATACAGTGAGCTCGTCAAGCGAGGCGTTGTTCCATTCAAAGGTATATGTACTTCCTTAACTTAATTATTGTGGACCCATTTTTATTGTTAACCTTTAATCCGTTGCATATTTATTTTAGGCTTATGAACATTTTTAACTATTATGTGTATATAAATTATCAAGACACGCATGACTTGACGTTGAATCATTCAATTCCAAGCACATTTGCTTTTTGCTTTTTCAAAAGACTAATCTTTTAACTTCTTTCAAAGCGATATTGATGGAGAATATTGATTGAGGGGGAATCAAACATAAGAGTTAGAATGTAAAGTAAATACTCTTAATCACTTTCAAAATACATAATTATTTTGTTCGGAAAGTTAGGTCTAGTTAAGAAATTTTGTTATAAAATGGGTGAGTGAGAATATATAGTTTATATTATAAAGTAATTAATAACTATGCACTTATTATAATATCACCTGATTAACCTCGTGATTATATAAATAAATTTCTCAGAGAGAGGAAGTGCATATTAAACTTGCACCCACGACAAACAGAACAGAATAATAATAATAATAATAATAATAATAATAATAATAATATATAACCAATATTTAATTGTACCGGGGAAACAATCCAACCGGGGGACTGTTTGACTAGTCCACATGGCAGAGCCATTCCTCAATTCACCATGTGTCTAGGGAACGAGCAGTCCAATCGAGGAACGAACTCTCAGCCAGCACGTACGGCCGACACAGTCAAAGCTTGTACGCCTGAAATACCAGTCTACGCGCGCAATAATAATAATAAACAAGAGAAACCAAACGGGGTGCATCTCTCTGTTTTTTTGCTATTAAGATTCATAGGCGGCTTTCATATGATGGGGCCCACTTCTATTAGAGAGATAATACACAATGTTGTATGTCTAGCATTTTTCATTATTCAAAATGAAAATATTAAAAAAATTAACCACTAGCATAATAAGAATTAAATATGACCTTTGCAGTTTGAGTCAGTTTAAATTTATTGACGTCAAACTATAAAAACATAAATAATTAACTTTGACGTGCATATATTAGTTGTTATCACAAGAACAATAGAATTAGAGCCAATATATTCATAAAAGAGTAAATTTCATTAAAAATAAAATTAGAGAGTTAGGACTAAAGACTTCACATATTGGTTTTTTTTTTTTTTTTTTTTAACTTTGTGTATTTTAAGGTCAAAACATTGGACTATATAGGTGTAATTTTCCTTTTTTCCTAAGAAAACATCACTGGTCTACAGTCCACTATCTGAGTCCGCCCTTAATTATGTTGCAAAAATTATGTTTGGCATGTGGAAAGACACGTGAATGTGATGTCTTATCTACGTTTTTCAATGTCTATCTCCACTACTGTATTTGCGGGGGCAGCGTGATAAATCTTATCTTCCTTGTCAGAGCGAAAAATAGAATTGGATAAATTTATCACATGAATTAAATAGTGCTTAAACAAGGCAGAAAAAGGAAAAATCAAGAAAAATCAGCAAAAAGCCAAAACATCATCGTTGTAACCGATGCACAAAAGAGAATCGGAGCATAATGAATAATAAACAACAGAAACCAGACAAAACTACTCCAATTATTGTGGGGGACTTGCATTTTGAACTTGGATGAATTGTAAATGCTCACTCTCGCTAACCAGCGCCGAAAACAATGTTGTTAGATGGACCTAGCTACAATCTTTTCTGTTATTGTATATTTTCATCGAAGAATCAATATATTACTATGGGAAAAGTACTCAAATTGTCCTCAAATTTATACTCGATTTATATTTTGGTTCATAAATTAAATTAATCGTTCAAATGGTCCACCAACTCTTTATTAATCGGCGCTTTGGTCCTAACGTTACATTTTCTGTTACATTTAGTCATGTGAGCAGCACATGCTACATTTGTGGGAGTAAATAAGACTTTTGACCTATGTATCACTATTTTATCACCACTGTATCACCTATGTATCATCACTTTATCACATATTTGGGGAACATAGGACGATTATGGAAGGTTGTACCCTTACATTTGATGGCAACATTAACATAATGTAACAGTAGGATTAATGGAGCAATTAATATAGAGTTGATGGACTATTTGAACGAATAATTTAATTGAATGACCAAAATGTAAATCTAGTATAAGTTTGAGGACCATTTGAGTAATTTACCCTCTTACTAATGACCATTTGGTTTAGTGAAACGTTTCCTCGCAGAATAATAAATAAATATATGTTGCACATTAATGCCAAAAAAATATACAGTTATGATCTTTGTATGTATGGAATCTCAGTTCTTGAACATTTTTGAGTTGGAATATATATTTTTCGTCTGAACACTTTGAAGTGGAATATTAGCCTATGAGTTTAGTGTAATATTTGAGATCAAATATACTCTTATAATGTGACCATATACAAAGTATGATCACACATATTGTTCACCTTCCATGCATATTTCAGATGAGACTTTCCTGCATGATGGTACACTGGATACACCAATTGATTGGGTCCCAGGCATGAAAAATGCTCGGCTCAGGGACATCCCCAGCTTCATCAGAGTCACAGATGTCAACGACATAATGTTCGATTTCTTGGGATCCGAAGCACGAAACTGTTTGAAGTCTTCTGCAATCATCTTCAACACATATGATGAATTTGAACATGAAGTGTTAAAGGTAATATCGACCACGTTCCCTAACATCTACACCATTGGCCCCCTTAAGTTGCTTGAGAGGCAATTGCCTGAAACCGAAACGAAATTGGTCGGGCCACTTAGCTCAAACTTATGGAAAGAAGACACAGAATGTTTGAAATGGCTTGATCAGAAGAAACCTAGTTCAGTTGTGTATGTAAATTATGGGAGCATAACTACAATGACAGATCATCATCTGAAAGAATTCGCATGGGGGCTTGCAAATAGCAAGCACCCATTTTTGTGGATTGTTAGGCCTGATGTGGTAGAGGGAGACTCAGCCATTTTACCCGATGAATTTTTTGAGGAGATTAAGGATAGGGGTTATATAGCAAACTGGTGTCTACAGGACCAAGTGCTTGATCATCCATCTGTTGGGGCTTTTTTAACACACTGTGGCTGGAACTCTACTATTGAAAGTGTATCCGGAGGTGTGCCTGTAATTTGCTGGCCTTTCTTTGCTGAGCAACAAACGAATTGTCGATACGCATGCACCGACTGGGAGATTGGAATGGAGGTGAGCCCCGATGTGAAGTGTGACGAAATCGAAGCACTTGTTAAGGAAATGCTGGAAGGGGAAAAGGGGATGAAGATGAGGCAAAAGGCAAGAGAATGGAAGAAAAAAGCTGTAGAAGCTACTGATATTGGAGGATCGTCGTACAATAATTTTGATAGATTGATTAAGTCTCTCCATTAAGGTGGATGACTGCTACAATGAAGAACAAATGTGGTTCCTTGTCAAGACTTGGCTAAGCTTTTATTTGCTAAGGGGTTTTATCTTATTTTCATGTTCAAGTGCTGTAATAATGTTTATGTTTTATTTGGACGTCAGTTGTTTGCAGCCCAACTCTGTCACAGTTTCCAAGTAGACTTGGCTAAGCTTATGAATAAAATTAATATTTCCGTTCAGCCTTCTAGTTTGTTCCAAATGCATATATATGATTGATACTCGAATTACCTGTTGACTATGTATTGAGTTGAATAACAAAACAAGACAAAAGCCAATGAATAATATGAGATAAGATCACTAAGGCTGGATGTATTCCAAAAAAAAAAAAAAAAAAAATAGAGAGCAAAGGACTGGAAGGCCAATTTATGGATCAGCGTCTAAAACAAGAGACTTCTTCCATGTCTAGTTGCAGCTTTTGCCTCTTGCCAAGTAAAATTTACCCAAGATGGCTCCAGTTGGAGGCAGAACACAACAACCCCATGTTGTTTGTGTCCCCTACCCTTCACAAGGGCATGTTAGCCCTATGATGCAATTAGCCAAGCTCCTACACTCAAGGGGCTTTCACATAACCTTTGTCAACTCTGAGTTCAACCACAGGCGCCTGATCAGGTCTCAAGGGCACCCATCATCCCTTGTGGGCTTACCTGGCTTTAGATTTGAGGCCATACCAGATGGGCTTCCACCATCTGACAAAGATGCTACCCAAGATGTTCCTGCACTCAGTGATTCCATCAGAAAAAACTGTCTTGGTCCCTTCAAAGAGCTTCTGGTTAAGCTTGGTGAATTGTCTGAAGTGCCCCCAGTTACTTGCGTAATTTCAGATGGGGTCATGGGGTTTGGGAGCAGGGCTGCGGTGGAATTGGGCATTCCAGAGGTTCAGTTTTGGACTGCCTCTGCTTGTGGCTTCATGGGTTACTTGCGGTATAGTGAACTCCTACAAAGAGGCTTGGTTCCATTCAAAGGTGCTCATTTTTTCAGTTCTTGTTTTCATTCAAGCCCTCAATTTTAAGGAGTTCAAGGAATCTTAATATATTAAGTGTTAGTTAATGAATAGATATGAAGAATTACTTGCTTTGACAAATTTGTTGAAATATGCAGAATTACTCTTTATATGACTATCAGCTCTTAATCTGATCACAAACTTCCATTACATGTATGTGTTTCAGAGAAAAACTTGGATAATCAAGATGATCCACTTGATGTGCTAATCGATTGGATCCCGGGCATGAAAAATGTTAGGCTCAAAGACATCCCTTACCACCCTAACGAAATAATGTTTGATTTCATGGGATCAGAAGCACAAAACTGCTTGAAATCCTCTGCAATCATCTTCAACACATTCGACGAATTCGAACACCAAGTGCTAGAAGCAATCTCGGGGATTTTCCCCAACATTTACACAATAGGTCCACTTCCTTTGCTATGCAGGCATGTCCCAGCTGATGACAGCCAAATCAAGTCACTCAGCCCAAGCTTATGGAAGGAAGACAGAGAATGTGTTGAATGGCTTGACAAGAGAGACCCGAACTCAGTGGTGTATGTAAATTATGGGAGTGTGGCTGTGATGACAGAGCAACACTTGAAAGAATTTGCATGGGGGCTGGCAAATAGCAAGCACCCATTTCTGTGGATAGTTAGGGCTGACGTGGTAATGGGAAGTGATGACTCTGCACTTCTGCCTCCAGAGTATTTTGTGGAGATCAAAGATAGGGGAAAGATAGCAAGTTGGTGCACACAAGAGCAAGTTTTAGCACATCCATCTGTTGCTGTTTTCTTGACACATTGTGGTTGGAACTCTATCTTGGAAACTGTGTGTGAGGGTGTGCCTGTGATTTGCTGGCCTTTCTTTGCCGATCAACAGACGAACTGTGGATATGCATGCAGCAGTTGGGGAATTGGTTTGGAGGTAAAGCATGATGTGAAGCGCTATGAAATTGAAGCACTTGTTAAGGAAATGATGGAAGGAGAGAAGGGGAAGGAATTGAAGCAAAAGGCACTAGAATGGAAGAACAAGGCAATTGAAGCTACTGATATTGGTGGACCTTCTTATAATAATTTTGAGAGATTGATAAAAAATGATCTACATTACGATGGATGACTAGTGTATAGCACTATCTCATCAAACATGGGACAGGACTTAGTCAAACCCAAATTTATTTTACGAGCACCTATCCAAAGCACTGCAGTTCAAAGCTTTTTACCTAATATTGAGATTTGAGTGTGGAATGTTTGACTCCAAAGTGATATATTTGAATCTCTTCCTATGTAAGTACGGTTTCAATTTTTTGGTGCTGCTACCGATTCTGCTAAAGATTTGGTGGGTTTTCTCATGTTTCGCTTTCGTTGATTTTGCATGTTTAGTTTGATCTCATTCTTGGAGTTGGCTTTATTGGCCAATTATCCCCTTGCTGTTTAATTCTTCTTTTTAAAATTTCTCCTCGTTCTGTCGAAGATTTTTTTTATAAAAAAAGTACCGTTTCAATTCAACTTAAGATCATTATTCATTAGACAATGTACAAGTCGTTTTCTTTTTGTCAAGAGTAATTCTTATACATATACTATCACTTGACAATTTTATTATTCTTTTTGAGAGGGCTGACTCAATTTTACTATCACGGAATGGCACCAATTTTAGAGGGCTGACTCAAAATTTCGGACATTTTAAGGGGATTTTTGAATTATTTTCACATCTATAAGGTATAAATATTATTTACCACCAAGACAAACAAGCAACCGACCTTAGCTCAGTTGGTAGAGCGGAGGACTGTAGTGGGGTAACCTGGTAGATATCCTTAGGTCGCTGGTTCGAATCCGGCAGGTCGGATAGTATTTTTATTATCAATTTTAGTACCTTTATATTATGCAAATCTTTAATGATTCTTGCTTTCTTCCCCTACACTTTTCTTCTTTTTTGTTTGTATCAATTCTTCTACACTACTTGTGGGCGATGTGGGGGAGAGTGAGTTCGTCCCCTTACACTCAAACTCAAGTCTCTTCCTCTATAAGTTAGATGAATTTAGCATATCGTTTATATATAAAAAAGTAGTAAATTTATCTGATTGCCCACTGCTTACTTACATCTGTTCCCCTGTCTCTCCTCCTATACCCAGCAAGCACAAATACACACCTCTTGGTTCTCTTGGATAAGATCATAACATCATCATATATTAGACAAAGAAGCCAAGAGAATCCCAGCAATGGAACAAAAGACACTCCTACCAGTTCTTTCATGCATCATCTTCTTCAACCTCCTCTGCTTCACCATAGCCCAAAAACCTCCTGCATGCCAAACCACATGTGGTTCCCTTATACTCAAATATCCCTTTGGCACAGGCGCTGGCTGTGGCTCCCCAACTTTCCAACCCTACATTACCTGCGAAATTACCAACAAGGACCAAAACCAGCAGCAGCAGCTCCTCCTCACCACCCACACTGCCTCATACCCAATCACTTCCATTTCCTACTCCACCCAAACCCTAACCCTAACGCCGCCCTCCATGTCCTCCTGCTCCTCCATGCAACCCTCCCCATCCAACTTCGGCCTCGACTGGGCCAGCCCTTTTCAGCTCGGCCGATCAACTTTCATCCTCTTGTCCTGCCCACCCCCCACCTCTTCTCTCACGCTCGGAGGCTCCTCCGGCATCCCGGTCTGTGATCCTTCCTACTCTAACCTCTGTGCTTCTATCTACACGTGCCCTTCTGTGGTTGGTCTTGGCCTGCCTTTGTTCCCCCCTACCAACACTTGCTGTGTGTATTCACCGGGCAATCTTGATAGCAAGGGTGAGCTGGACCTCTGCGGCCTGAAGTGCGCCGGGTATACCTCCGTGGTGTCCCTTGGAGACTACCCGACGGACCCCGCCCGGTGGGAGTATGGGGTGGCGTTAAAGTATAGCCATGGTGATTTGGATAATGGCATTGTGGACACCAAGTGCAAGAGCTGTGAGATGAGTGATGGGGTTTGTGGGTATAGGGTTGATGATTATTCGTTTCTCTGCGTGTGTAAGAATGGCTACAACACCTCCTCGGATTGCAACAATAATTTCAGTCCAGATCAGGACCTGTTTTGGGGCTCTGCCTCGAGGTTACCACCTGCTTGTAAGTTCTTCTTCTTCTTCGATATATTTCTTTTTCTTTTAATTTAAATTATTAAAGAAGAAAAAAAAGTTTTCATTTTGATTAGATAATCATTTTTAAATGTTGATGCCTCGCTGTCATAAAATGCGCACCGGATGCTCTTGAGCTTTAGTGGAAAGTGCAGTCCAGTTTTGCAGAACTTTGTGTGTTTGTTTGGGATGGGATTTGTATTGGAGGATAAAGACAACTTTATTGCGTGAGCAAAAAGAAGAGATAGCTTAGGCCTTAAGGCGGAAGCTACAGAATTAGCAAATGGGGAACTAAACTTTAGTGCTGACTTTTTCGTCATCTTTTCAATTTTGCAGGGAAAATGTGGTTTGCGCTCGTGGCTTTTGGGGAAATCTCCTACTCTTGTTTTGATCTTTTTTGAATTGTATTTGGACCCCAAAAAATATTTATGTGACTATGTGAACAAAAAAAAAATAGAATAATAAAACAGTCAAATTGAAAAGGAAGAGGAATAAAGGTATCAGCATCTTCCTCACATATAGGATGTGATGCTCCACTTGGAAACCTTAACCATCCAATTAAATTAACCTCAGCCTCAGGTACGTTCAAGGATCGGATCAATTGATATGCTTTTTTTATAGTACAATTATAGTCTACACTATAGTTGATGCGGTTTATCTCACACACACACACAATTAAGATGTCATATAAGAGTTCGAACTTGTGACTTCTGATATGCAAGTCAAATTCAATGCCTTTTTGACTGGATTGGACCCATTGACCAATTGATATGCTTTTGGTTGGGAAGTTTGGGTGGTTTAATTGAATTTATTGAATTCATTGTGTTTATTTGTATAAGAAAATGAAGAAAATAAATGGATTTCAAATGAGTCCTTACATATAATCATTTTAAATCCATTACAAATGTTTTACATCTAGTTATTTGAAATAAATTGAATCCAATGTTTTCTAGTTCTTTTCTATAGCAAATTTAGCCTTGTTGTCAAATCCAAAATGGAACCTAAGAGCATAGTCTTTATTACCCCTTATTATGTTGCCAAATAGTTGCTTATGTTGCAAGCGTTCATGTGAGA